CAGTATAGTGTGAATATCACTTTTTTAAAATTTTGCAATTATTTTTTATTTTAATAAATCATTTTATTGGGGGCTCTTACATCCCATACATCCATTGTATCAAGCACACTTGTACATATGCTGCCATCATCATTTCCAAGACATTTTCTTTCTACTTGAGTCCTTGGTATCAGCTCTTTATTCCTCTCCCTCCCCCACCTTTCCACCCTTGTGAGCCCTTGATAATTTATAAAGTATTTTTATTTATTTTCATATTTTACACCATCCGCTGCCTCCCTTCACCCACATTTCTGTTGTTCATCCCCTTGGGATGGTTATATTACATGGATCATTGCAATTTGTTCTCCCTTTCTCCCCCCACCTTCCCCCTACCCTCATGGTATCCCTACTCTCATTATTGGTCCTGAGGGTTTTATCTGTCCTGGATTTTGTGTGTCAAGAGCTCTGGTCTGTACCAGTGTGCATGCTCTGGTCTAGCGAGATTTGTAAGGTAGAACTGGAGTCATGCTAGTGGGGGGGGCACATTAAAGAAGTAGGGGAAAGTTGTATGTTTCCTCGGTGCTATACTGCCCCCTGACTGACCCTTCCTTGTGACCCTTCTGTGAGGGGATGTCCAGCTGTCTACAGATAGGCTTTAGGTCTCCATTCTGACCCCCCTCATTCGCATCAAAATGGTTGTTTAAACATAATCTTTATCTGCAGTAGAAAGTGGGGAAAAAATGTGTGGGACTCACTGTATTGCTTGGCCTGAACTAAACCTGCATGTTCTGGTTTGAGTCCAGTGATGGGAAAATGTTTCAATGTGAATCCAGAAATCAGCATTTAAGGGTAGGTGTATTATTCTTTGGGTTTACTTGATTGTATTATTCCAGTCCAGGAAGAGACAAATGCTTTTGCCACAAAGATTTCCTATACAGGAATTCCATAATGTTGTTTTTCAACTTATTTATACATTCATTTAAGCAAGTCAGAAAAATTGAGAATTACACTCACAAATAATAAATATGCAAACAAGACACCTAAGAAAATAAAGAGTTGATAATGGAAAAACATTATTTAAATTAAATCCTTCAAAACTTTTAGAGCTGAAATATTGACCTTTGTGCATCCTGTCTTTCTATGTAGTCTATGTCAACAATTTCCAGTGTGAGGATGAGACTTTACCATCCTGCATAAAATGTCTTTACACTCACTGAATGTACCTACGTGCATTTCCCCCGCCCAATTCCAGATGTCTCCAAAGCATGTTCATGAAATGAGCATTTCCTTTGATAAAACATAAATTACCTCTAATTATAAACTCATTACTAGAGTACCACTCAGTCTTTCATTAAAAAAAAAAAAAAAAACTCCAAAGAGAGTCTTATGCCATTCTTTAAAACAGAAAAGGTTTTCTGTTAGCTTTACACCCAACCCCCCATCTCAGGCATAGAACATATCTTGTCCTTGTCTGGGCTATGGACCTTTCCCAGCTCAGAGTTTCTATTGCACTCCCACAGCTTCTGGTGGTCCACAAACCCACGCTTGCCTTTGTGGGAGGAGTTTGGTCCTGTGGATTGTTCTTTTGATTAGTCTCCATCCTCGTCTTTGCTTCTGGGGGCAGTTCTCATGGTTCCCAGCTCGATCCCAGTATGATGGACATGACAATGCCTACGGCAAATCCAAACTGGGAGATCTTTGTAGGCATCTCGGGAAGTTTTCCATTTCTTCATCTGCTCTCTTCTCAGTTCTCTCTCTCTCTCTCTCTTTCTCTCTCTCTCTCTCTCTGCTCCAGCCAAGGTCCGATTTGCCACCTTTTTCTTTCCCAACATCCCCCTCCACCATTTCCCAGCTGGTGTTGAAAAGAGCATTTCTGAAAGTGAGAGCTCACATCTACTTCGTCTGCCCATTGTCTACCACACTCTAGTGCCAGAAAGCCCACTCTGGGAAATTAACAAATTCCTTGTCCAGGTTAAAACGTGTTACTGCAACGAAAATATGCCGGCATACGGAAGAATGTTATATTACAGTTTAGGGCAGGGGTTCTCAAGCTTCCTCGTGCCACGACCCTTTCACACAGTTCCTCATGTTGTGGAGACCCCCAACCATAACGTTATTTGTGTTGCTACTTCATCACTGTCATTTTGCTACTGTTATAAATCGGGTGACCCCTGTGAAAGGGTGGTTCGACCCCCAAAGGAGTCGCGACCCACAGGCTGAGAACCGCGGGTCTAGGGTTAGGTCAGCTCATGAGGGGCAATGTTCTAAAAGAACCCTCCATTCTGAATAGAATAGTGTGATGGGTATTTTATGTGTCCATTGGCCTAGACCAGAATGCCCAGATGTCCAGTCAAACACTGGTCTAGACTCTGTTATGAAGTAGTTACCTGTGATTTAGTCAAGTGGTCATATAATATCACCATTCGTAGTGGAGGTGGTCCTCATCCAATCACTAGAAGGACCAGAAGGAGAACAGGGAGTTTCCCCCGAAGAGTAGTTTGTCTTCAGGCTATAAGCAGACATTTTGCCAAAATGTCTCCCTTCTCCCCAACCCCACCCACCCCGTCATGGCCTATAGAGTTTGGGATAAAAGGCTGTAAGATTATCCTGGCTATTCCTGAAATACAGATTTTGGACTTGTCAGACCCCCCAACAATTATGAGTCAGGTCCTAGCTGGTTACCTCTCTCTATAAAGATAAAGATGGATAGATATCTATATGTCTATAACTATAGAGGATGAGCAAAAGAGTATTGATATAAAATCATTGAAACCTTTATTAAATGAAAATATTTAAATGCAAAGTTACTATTTCTCAACATATCTACTACATAGGTCTATACACTTGTGAGGGCAATGTTTCTTTCTCGAACAATTCTGAGCTCCTCAACCTAAACAGAGCAAAACAAACGAAGTTTGGTCATCTTTGGGAGACTCAAATTGTGTTCCTTTTCAATGTTCTTTGAATTTGGGGTGGCGTGGGGTGGAGATGACATCTGAAGGGACAAGATCAAGGCTATAGAGTGAATGGGGTAAGGTTTTCCTTTGAAATTCTCATAGGCCGGAACCGATTACAAGGAACTATATGTGACCTCCTCCCTGGGGGACAGACAACCGAAAAGTGGGTGAAGGGAGACGTCGGACAGGGCAAGATATGACAAAATACCAATTTACAAACTATCAAGGGCTCATGAGGGAGGCGGGAGCGGGGAGGGAGGGGAAAAATGAGGACCTAATGTTGGGGGTTTAAGTGGAGAGAAAATGTTTTGAGAATGATGTACAAATGTGCTTTACACAATTGATGTGTGTATGGATTGCGATAACAGTTGTATGAGCCCCTAATAAAATGTCTAAAAAAAAGAAATTCTCATAGTCCAGGTGTCTTATGGTAACAGGCAAAAATTCCTTCATGCAACTTTCTTTGCCTTTTTCTCACCAATGAAGTTTTTAATTTTCTTAAAACTTTGCAACAAGCCTCCATGATCATCCTTTGTCCTTCCAAAAGATCTGTCAAGGTTAAAACTTGGAATCCCTAACACAGGTTGCCATAACCTTCTGGGCTAACTTTCTGTCTTGAAGCTAATCGGTCTAGCGTATCCCCTTGGAAAGCCCTTTTTTGGGTTTTATTATTATTATTATTATTATTAATTGGGTGTTAATACATATATCATATCATTTCATCGTTCAATCACATCAAGCAGAATTGTACAATTGCTACCCCAGTCAGTTTCCAAACATTCTTTTTCTTCCTGGACTCCTTGACATCATCTCCCTTTTAACCCCCATCCACCACTCTACCCACCCCCAAACCCTTATTCCATTTGTTGTCCCTATAGCTTTGTCAACCCTGGGTTTCATTTACTTTAAAACATAGAACACAACTTCAAGAGGGGGAACGCCAATGACACAACACCTCTTAGATACACCTTACTATGGACAAACAAACACGTGGTTATGACTGACATCCTTTTTCGAAGGCACTGTGCATTATTGAAGAGACGTGTACCTTGGAGAGAACCTGTGTGTAGCCATTCACTGATCACAGAGACATTCGAAACACATGTTGTTTGGCAGAAACGTGTGCCTATGTGAATGAATGCAATGCTGTTAAAATTTACCCTCCGATCTCAATGTCTTACGGAGTCTGTTTCTCTAGAGCAGGTGTCCTCAAACTACGGCCCGCGGGCCACATGCGGCCCGCCGAGGACATTTATCCAGCCTGCCAGGTTGTTTTTGCCCCATTTGTTTTTTTTAGCTCAAAACAAGATATGTGCAGCATGCATAGGAATTTGTTCATAGTTTTTTTAAAAACTATAGTCTGGTCCTCCAATGGGTCTGAGGGACAATGAACTGGCCCCCTGTTTAAAAAAATTGAGGACCCCTGCTCTAGAGTATCCTTAGATAAATGGTTTATAATTCCAAGGTTCTAATTTTACCTTAAGTTACACTGAGTTTCTAAAGGCCAACTGAGCAGGAAATGGCAGGGGTCTGACCCTCGGTCAGGCACGGTCAGGCATGAGGGCCATGCCGGCATTCCATCGGTCATCGGGTGACAGGATCTTCTGAGAAGAAAGGGATGTTCTCAGGAAAAAAGGGAAGACGAGAACATGCATTGTGGAAGAAAGAAATTGCCCCTTTCTCCCCTGATGGGCTACTTCATGTGACAATTGCGTAGTGAGAAAGCAGCCGATGTCTAATGAAAAGTTCCACGTTCTGTTTTGATTGTAACAACTCTGTAGAGTGTGATCCCCTGGAAGATTCTCTCTCTCACCCTTCCCTTTCGGGGTGGAGAAAATAGGTGAGACTTCCCTTGTTGATCAATACAAGACAGGTTGTGTTAGATTCGGTTGTCTCTAGAAACAAGAATAGTTGCCCTGATCTATGTGTAATAAAGAACTTTATATCAAGAAGGAATTTTATATCAGGAAGGCAGCCCAGCCCAGCCCAGCCCAGCCCAATGCTAGTCTCTGGGTGCAATGCTTGCTGGGGCCCTCCTAAGGTTCATGTTACTGCAGGCTAATGATGCAGAAAGGTGACGCATGATACAGGGCGATCACAGGCCAGTGGGTGCAGATTGTGTGGAACCCAGGTCAGTGGGAACATGCCACGGTGTTGACTCAGCTCCCTTGGTCAGTGGCCCACATGGGGCCACCCCTGGAGCCCAAGCAAGAATCTTAACAGGGAGGGCAAAGGAGCCAGAGAGGAGTTCTCACTGTCTCTCTTATCAAAAGGGCTTCCCCCCACAAGGAGGAACATTAGGCTTTGACCTGACCAAGAGGTTGCACTCCACCCCTACACTCTCACACAGGTGCCAGTTGACCTAAAGCTGTTCACAATTGGATACCTTCAAAGAGAAGAGTCTTGAACTTGCGTTTAAAATACACCCATTATTAGATCGTTGTTTTAGTTCTCTAGTGCTGCCATCACAGAAATACCACAAGTGGATGGCATGACTAAACAAAAAAGAATTTTCTCACGGTTTCAGAGTGCTGCCCTTAGGGAGAGCCTTTTCTCTGGGTCCCCTCTGAGGGAAGGTCTTGGTTTCTTTCCAACACCTGTGGGCCCAGAGTCCCTTGGAGACCTACAGGTGTCTTGACATCCATCTTCCCCGGGACCTACAAGATTCTAAACCCTGGGTCCAAAGGATGCTCTCTGCTCCCATCACTTCATTCGTGGTGGTAGTCAGGTCCCTCCTCTTTCTGCTTGCTTCTCCCTCGGTTCCTCTCCTGGATGATAAAAGGTGATGTAGGTCTTATGCCCGGGGAACTCCTTTTATGTGAGAGCAGGGCTGTGACCACGGATCGACTGCTCATATCACACTTTGGAGGAAAGATTGCATCACGACATAACTGCCAAATTCTCCGTTACACACAAACCATGAAGATCATGGCCCAGACAAGTTGACACATATTTGGGAGGATACAATTCAACCCACGACCATAGTCTTGGCCCAGCAGTTTTCTCCTAGGGGTAAGTCCTAGGGCTATCTCTTTGCACATACAAAACAAAGCATTGGAAGGCTATTCTCTGCAACATTTGTTGCAATAGTAAAAATACAAAAACAACCTAGCTGTTCACAAAATGTTTTGTAAGGCTCTGGCTAAATAAATTATATGCCCTTTGGGGAATAAACAGGATGTTTTGCAAATGGAAGGAGGCTCTTTCCATCTTATGGAAGAGTCTCTGAGACACACAGTTAAGTAAAAATTGCCGAGAAGAGTTCGTGCAGACTGATACCTCTTCTGTTCAAAGGGAGAAACTAGCTTTCTGCGTGGATCTGGCTGCTGACGTCATGGCCGTCCTGGAGAGATCTTCATTTGACTCTTTCCTTATTTTAAAATAAAATCCTTCCGAAGGAGGTTAAAATACTGCCCGATTTTGAGAAGGAAAATACTGGATAGCCCAACCCCAATGTGGAGATGCAGATTCCATCAAGTTAAGGGAACTCAGCTCAGACCTCCGGAATAGGGCACATCACCTTGTGAAACCTGATACTAGAAGTTACAAGAGATCGAGACAGTTGGAGTCTCAAATGCCAAATAGTCCACAACTGTCATCTCATGAAAAATCAGATTCATCTTTCTCTGAGAGTTCTGGACTATTTTGTAAAGATGAAACCCTGGAGAAAGATTTGAATTATATCAGCAAGGAATTAACCTATTGTTGTCTACATATGCAAAGATCTTAAGTGAGAAAATGGCAGTAGATGCATCTTACACTGATGAGATAGATGAACTCTTCAAAGAAACCAATACTATTAAAAACTTTCTAATACAAAGGAGGGAGTTCCTGAGAGAGAGGTTTATCATGATTGCAAACACATTGCAGTTAAATTTGTGTATTTAAAATAAGTCTGTGAGATCACGAGGTGTTGAAGGGATCAGGTATCAGGCATCAAAGACACCCCCCCACCCCCCAAAAATCATAGCATTGTGAATGAGGGGGAGTGCGGAGTGGGGACCCAGGGCCCAGCTGTGGGAAATTGGACATCCCCTTGCAGAAGGGCCAGTCAGGGCGCAATGTAGCAATGATGAAACATACGATTTTCCTCTAGTTCTTGAATGCTATCATGATCCCAATTCTACCTTGATCCTAATTTTACCTTACAAATCCGGGTAGACTGGAGGATGTGCACTGGTACAGATGGAAACTGGAAACACAGGGAATCCAGGACAGATGAACCCCTCAGGATCAATGGTGAGAGTGGCGATATGGGGGTGGTGGTGTTAGAGTCAGGGTGGGGTGGAAAGGGGAAACCGATTACAAGGATCTACATATAACCTCCTCTCTGGGGGACAGACAACAGAAAAGTGGGTGAAAGGAGACATCAGATGGTGTAGATACAAAATCATAATTTATAAATTATCAAGAGTTCATGGGGGAGGGGGGAGGGGGAAGGAGGGGGAAAATGAGGAGCTGATACCAAGGTCTCAAGTAGAAAGCAAATGTTTTGAGACTGATGAGGGAACCAAATGTACAAATGTACTTGACACAACGGATGCATGTGTGGATTGTGATAAGAGTTGCATAAGCTCCCAATAAAATGATTTTTAAAAATTCTGAACTGGGGTGGGGTGAGGGTAGGGAAAGCATAATAAATAAATATCAATATCTAAAAATGATATATTAAGCCACATCCATTTTTAAAATGTATATGGTTGACAGTACAGGTTTAAAATAAAGTTCTAACTCTGAAGGTAAAAAAAATAAGCTAAGAATGTAAACTTTGAATACCATTATTGTAATAAAAAATGGCATTTATGCTCTGAAAGCTCTCCAGTTTTAAAAGAAAATGTATACTTTCAACAGAAGGATACACACCTTGAATTTCTACATTTAAAAAAGGTTTAACCTGGACATCAATATAAAGAACGTTGTTTTATTTTGAGGGTTGGATAGTTGACACATTTTGGAAAGGCATGAATTACATAATGCTTATTTGGACTCCTTTTTCTCTGAAGCCTTCTAGCCTTTTCTTACACTTGTTATGGGGACACAATGACTTAGTTGGTAATGCTTAGTAATATGTATGTTTTCATTTATGTTATATTTTGAACTAGCAGATAGCTTTGGAGATCATTAAATTTTTTAAATGTTTGCTATTGAAAGTTCAAATCTGAAAGGTAATTTGCTGGTTTTCTCAACATATAATGACATAACTGTATCCTGAATAATATACTCATTTGGCTATTATTTTAAAATTTATTTAAAATAATTTTTTTGTGCTAGAAGTACTTTGAAAATAAAAGCCAGAAATAGTCACACACACACACACACACACACACACACCAGGGAGAAACTAGGCTCTAGATTTGTGTATGCTTTTGAATGCATAAGGAAGCCACGGAGGAATACAGAGTAAATGCTTAACAGTGGTTCAATATTGGTGTGAGTGGGAGATGCAGATAGGTGGGAAGGAGATTTTCCACTGCACACCTCTTAATATATATTTTTAAAATTTTGAGCCATGTGAATGTCTTACCTATTCAAAAATGGAATTGCTAGTTATTTGGGAAGAGGTAAATAATATCTACATGCTAGAGGAAATCAATAATATTTACATGGTAAAGAGACATATAGTATTTACATGACTTGTCTTACATAAAATGGATCTTCAATAATTACTTATGGTATTAATGTGGAGTAACTCCAGGAATAAGGTATGTGATGGGTCAGATCGATGAGAGGATTAAGAAAGAATGTGCTTTAGGAGACGAAAGAGACCTCAATTTCAAATGTAACTTAAGGAGAACATTTATTAAATCTTACATGGGACAATCACGGCTTGTCTGTTCGTTTATAGCACTGTGGTGGCTGTGTGGCTGTGATGCTGGAAGCTATGTCACTAGTATTTCAAATTCACAAATTCAGAATCACAGTGAAGAGGTTTCAGTGGAGCTTCCAGACTCAGAACAGATTCAGAGGACTCTGAAGACTAAGAACTGACTATGACGTAATACGGTGTCCACTTCTGAAGAACTAGCCGCTGCAAACGCTATGGATAGCATTGACACATTGTCAGCTAACAGATGCGACATGCTGTCTGTGATATGATTATATCTATCTGACTACATGGAAATCCAAGCAATACAACTATTACTCACATTTATGTACTAATCACTAAAGCTAGTGATGAAGAACTTGAAGACGTCTACCATGTCTTCATTCTAAAATTGATCAAGCATACAATCCAGATCATTGACAATTATTAGCGATTGGAAACTAAGAGGAACAGTAGCTGGAAAATATGGTCTTTGTAATAGAAATGAAGCTGGAGATCACATGATAGAATTTAACAAGAGTCACAACTTCATCACACATATCTTTTATCACCGCCTGAATGTCTCCAGATAGAACATACAGAAATCAGATTGACTTTATCTGTGGGAAGAGATAATGGAAAAGCTCAATGTCAGCAACTAAAAACAGTCCAGGGACTACTGTGGAGTGTGGGATACAAAAAGGCTTCCCCAGCTCGACTCCCCCAAATACATATGTTAGACTTAGGACACTGCTTGCAACTAAAGGTAAATGATTGTCAAGTTAACTCCCTGAAGAATCCAGCCATCCAGAGCAAGCAGACACCATTGTTTCTCCCACAATAGGTGGCTCACTCCCTGCTGTTAGGGACAGTGGACTGCTTCCCCTAAAAGCTTAGGCTAAATAAAGTCCCCAGCTCTAGGGCAATCAAGGTTAGGCCACCATCCTGAATGAGGGACCCACCCATCGTGTCACATATATACCCTTAATCCCTCCTCTTCCTATTGCACATATACCCCTAGATTGTCCTCCTCCCGGGGGGGGGGGGGGGGGGGGGGGGGGGGGGGGGGGGTATGGGAGGGGAGGAGAAGCTAACAATGAAGGGCACAGGGGAATGATAAATGTTCTACAATTGATGGCAAGGAGGGTGTAGCATTTCTGTTTGTGTTTGATCAGTTGAATTGCATCTGAGAGAAATTACTGAAAGGTGAACAATGGGTAAACACAATAGTGGGGTAAAGGGGTGGGGAAGAAGAAAGAAGAAAAAAATATAAAAACATAGGTGTATTTGTTTATATATTCAAATGCAACAAGAAAGCAGATGGACTTTGGGCCTCTCTTTAAGTCTTACCTCAGTACAAGAATGGGTTTTTCTAACAATATACGGCATTGTGTGATTCTCACATTCTTGACATAATTACTGGAGACAAAATGGGTGCATAAGCAAATGTGGTGAAGAAAGCTGGTGGTGCCCGGCTAGTAAAAGACAAACATCTGTGGTCTTAAAGGCTTGAAGGTAAACAAACGGTCATCTAGCAGGGAAGCAAGAAAGCCCACATGGAAGAAGCACACCAGCCTGTGTGATCACAAGGTGCCGATGAGAATAGGTATCACAAATTCAAAAACAAGCAACTAAATCAATGTGAAGGGACCTGAATGTAGTGGAGAACCAAAACCACCTGAAAGATAATTGGACAGTCCCTCTTAGAAGGGCCCCATTGAAGTGATGATAAATCCAGGGGGCAGTATAGCACTGATGAACCACATGACTATCTTCTAGTTCTTTAATACTTCCTCCTCTCACTATTATGGTTTTTATTTGTTGTACCTCATTAAGTATGCTAGATTTGCATATGTTCATTTGTATAATTAAGACTGTTCAATACATAAAAGCCAAGATAGATTACCCTTCAGAAACAGTAAGAGGCAGAGTAATGGTTCCCTGAAGGTACAGGAAGGGTGGAGGTGGGAACTGATAGCATTGATGATTGTATAACGCCACTTGTTGGGATTGAATAACAGAATTGTATGTGAATGGATATATTGGATTGTGTAAGATATGACAAAAAAAAAGATTATAGAAAAAACAGAAGTGTCCCTCGGGGGCATGGTGGGGGAGGGAGGGGACAAGGAAAGCTGATATCAAGTTTGAAACTGTGGTAGCAATTGTAAAATACTGCTTGATGTGATTGAACTATGGGACATTATGATATCTGTAAGAGCTCCCAATAAAATAATTTTTTTTAGTTTCCCTGGAGCGTTATGAACTCAGATGGGGCCCTCCCTTGTCTTTGGATCACTTTAGAAGAAAAAAGTTAGTCATCCCAATTTATTTACACATGTTTAAATTGGCCAAGGTAACTTGAAAGACAATGGACAACCAATTTCTTCTCTTTGGCAAGAAATATATATACATATATAAATATGTATATATATATATTTAAGTTTTACTCTCAGGATCATTCTTTTTCTTAAATGAAGCACATCTGTAACATCTAACAAGTTTCATGGAAAGATTTTGGTTTCAAGGTTCTTATAAACACAAAAACCTGTCAAGATTAATTCATTTCATTTATTCTTGTTTTAGGACCAAGAAGAGAATCCAATCTCAAATATAACTTAAGGTGGGCATTTATTACATCTTAAAAGAGACAGAGACACAGAAACATCACTTGGATGAGGGAGGTCACTAGCACAAGGTCAACATTGAGTTTGGGGAGTCATAGTTAGGGTGCTAGTTAAATGAGGATGGAACAAAGGGAATTGTCATGGATTCATGATCGGTGGCAGATCAGGGCATCACAGTTTTAGGTGAGAGTGCAGGGGCAAGACCAGGACCATGGGACACATACATTGCCAGACAGAAGAGCTTACACGATTGGTCCAGGGTCTTCTGACCAAGGCAGTCAGGACACAGCTGGTAAGACATGACTCATGACTATTTGACCCTCCCAGTCTGGTGGTCTCCATCGAGGACACACCCAGGCAAGCCCCTAGAAGAAAGCCTGCCCCTCCCTAGGGTGGCTGGCGAGGGATGGAGGTAATCCATTCTCCAATGCACACTGCCTGAGGGGAAGATTATCTGT